GCCGCCCCCTCCCCGTGCAAACGGCCTGCAGGCTCCGCGCCCGGCGCCCCAGACGTCCGGCTGTGGCCTCCCGTCGCTCCCAGCCCGGCACAGCATCGTTGCTCCTTTCCTGTTGCTGTGCCAACGAGCTGCTAGGAGACACGGCTGTTAGGAGAAGTCCTGCGTGGCGGTGTCAGACGCTTCCCCGCCGCAGGGGCAGAGCCGGTTTGTGCTGCAACAGGCTCCAGGCTGCAAACGGCACCGCGTCGGGCGGCACGGCGGAAACCCAGCCTTCCCTCTGCACTCTCAGTAGGGATTCTCAGAGGCTTTGCCAATGCGGGACACCAAATCAACCAATTCAGAGGTTGGCTCCAGCAATGCAGACAGCACTAACCGCACATCTTAGCAGAGATGCAAAAATAAAGTCAGCTGCATTGCTTAGCCCACCCGTCGCCTGCCTGCCAGGGACGGACCCGGAGGCAGACGCTGGCTCCCCCCGCTCCGTGTCAGAGCTAACGGCTCAGCCTCCAAAGGGAGTGCGAAATTCCCTCCGGCGGGTACACCCAGCTCAGATTCAGCCCGGGAAAACGCGCTATTTACATGCCAGGATTCCCCAGCAAAAAGGGCCGTGACCTGTCCAGAGCAGCCTCATCCTGATGCCCCGATGGCAAGGGCTGTATGGGGCGCACGGTGGCCGCACATGAGCCCTAGGGCCAGCCAACAGCCGCAGCTCGGCCACCAAGAGCCACAGTGACCCAGAGAGCCTTTACCTAAGGAAACCCTGAGCAGGCACGCAGGAGCCCTGCCATGGCATCCACTGCACGCCAAACAGCTGAAGACGGGGATTAGAAAGCACAAATGGCCACGGGAAAGCCACAGACATGTTCAACTCGATCTCTTACCGCTTCTAAAAGAGCTGCAGCTGTTTTGCAGTGGGGCTCCCAGGCAAGTCACTGGCCCCATGAGGATTTCTGGCTGACCGTACGTGAGACGGGACGGTCACGGTCGGACCAGTGTTTCTTTCAGAAGCAGTAATTGCTTCGCCAGTCCCAAATGTTTTTCCTGCTTTCGCACACACCCTCAATAAAGTTTACAAAACAGTTATTTTAACCAGTTTCTTGATCTCGATCACCACATACTGCCCTGGTGCAACACAGATTGGGAACACGCACATTGGTGATGATTAACGGCTAGACGAGGAGAGCGTTGAGCAAGCTCTGGCCTCTGTCCCTCCAAAACCTCACCTTGCCCTGCTGTAAAACGGAGAGAAAATCAAGCTGTTCTGATTCAGGTTCAACACTCGGCTACTAGCCATACAATCCTTCGCAAGTATGAAGCATAATTTCTAATGCTAGGAGCACCATTTGGATTGCACAAAATCAAAAGGAATAGCTATAGGATAAGATCTATATGCAGCTGATAACGTGGAAAATCTGGAAGGAAAGGAGAGGCCACATCAGCGAGGGCAGAAACGAGGAAGAGACAGTTTTGCAGAACAACTGAAATTGGGTGCAAAGAACATTATCTGTAAATTACACCTATTATTGTGAGGAAAAAATGCTTCTAGTCAAGAAGAAAACATCCTGTCTGAGACAGGATACAAATGAACTATTGATTAACCGTAAACCCGGGCTGGGCTCCTGTGTGACCAAGGACTTTGGGGGGAGGAGGGAAGGGATCAGCATTTGGAGTACTGCAATTATGGCAATTCAGGCCTTTTGGGAAATGGCTCAATTAAGCATTTTGAAACATAGGACACAAGAGCTGGGACCAGGTGCAAACATTACTCCATGAAGAGCAACAAGTGCTTTCTTGACTCCAGTCCTTGATTGCCCCAACTATAATAAAAACAGCCTGTTTTAGGGGCTCTTGTTGAGTACCCTGGCTGGGCAGAACCTCGCCAATCTTTACATTATTGCTGCAGTTCCCCCTTGGAAAAGGAGAGCTGGTCCTCTGAATTCCTCCCTCGCAGGACTGAGCTGGGGAACACACCAGACTTCTCTTTTTTGTGGTTCCAAAGTGAGAATTTGTTGGCCCGGGACACCCACCCTGGTTTGAAGCAATGACCCAGCTCCCCTTTCCCGGCACGCTTCGCGACCTCGGAGGCACGCCAAGCCTCCCGCAGCGGGCAGCGGGTTCTGCGCCGCCCCGACGTGCCCTCGCGCGATCCCTGCCCCAGCCCTTCCCGTAGCCTCGGCACTCTCCATGCGTTCGTGGGAAAGCCCAGCCGCAGCTCGCAATCTGCGAGTTACCCAGTGCAGCCGCCTTCTGGAGGGATAAGATCATGCTTAAAAAATAATACTTACTGCCTTCGCTTTGGTTGTCCTTGTTCGAGTTGTAGACCTGGAAAACACAAGAAGAAAGTCTTATGAAGACCCTGCCTCTGCTTGTGAAGCGGCTGCTGATGCATCTCGCGGCGAACCCCCACTGGTGACAGCTTCCAGGGGACTCTGTGGTCTTTGGGGACCTCGCTGAAAAGGTCACAGAAGACTTCCACATTCAGAAAGCCAGGTTTTCACAGTTCTGCAGTTTTATTAGAATAGCAACTAGAATAGTTTCTGGAAGGAGAGAACACAAAAGAGACTAAGGACAGAAACTCCAAGAGCTTTTAAACAGAACAAGGGACGGGCACTCTTCTCCTCCACTCTCTTCTCATGGAGAAGCATATAAAGCAAACAAACTAAGAGCGAGGCAGGTAATTCCTATTACATCTTATTAGCATTGTAATAACATCTGGTAGGTGCTGTTGAGGCAAGGAGTAGGAAGCTATCCCCACTCAGAAGAACTTACAGCCTGAATAAACAGGACAGGCAAAGAGTAAGAGAGGGGAAAAAATCATTAATTTGCAGAGGATCTGAAACGCAGCAGGATTCGGCAACGTCCCGACACAGCCTGCAACAGGGCCACTTTCCCAGCCAACATTGTGACTTAAACCCGAGACTCTCCTACCTTCAAATGTTGGTGCTCTTCCTCCTGCCCACACCACTTTTACAACTTGGCTACCTTAGGTTAAAGCAACTGTTTCAGTAGATCAAATAAAAGGGAAAAGAGCAATGGCAGAAGCTTTTAATCACAGTTTAAGCACAATTTAAAAACACAGCATAAGAAAAACTGTGGCTGTAAGGAGACCAGCCTTCAAACGTGTTGTATTTCACTTACTCAAAAGACTAATACGATTTAAAGAAATCCTTTTAACTTATCAAGCCAGAGCCTGGGTAGAAATACACGTACAGTGGCACTTCACTGTCATCCTAAGATGGAGCTGAGTGCGGCAGCATCCATTAAAACAGGAAAAAACGTGTCTGTACGCTGGTAAACAAAGCAAGCCGCGTGCACACCCTTCCTCTCCACGGGAACAAAGCTGGGAGCCCCCTTTCGCAGGAGCCCGAGACACGGAGCGCTGATTTAATCACATGCTACGTCCAGAAATAGCAAGTGGGGAAGGCACGTTTCCAAAGACAATGTTGATAGCAACGCACCAGCCAGCAGCAACCGCCACAGCGGAGGGAAACGGGGAGGAAGAGAGGCTCTAATCTGCAATGGGGCATGCGAGCGCCTCCCAGCCTCTCCCACCCCAGGCTGCCCACGCAGGACAGCGGCATTACGGATAAAGAGATTCACGGGCCTGCCTCTGGGCACGGAGGAGGTCTGTGTGCTTCTGGGGGGGTTTACCGCTACCGGGCTTTTCCCAGGAGCTCCAACAAAACGGCAAGGCCCAGGAAGTTAATAAATAGCGCAATTTCTTCAAAGGACCAGTGCCAGTTCCTGCTGGACGTGCACACTGTTAATCGAGGGCAAAGCCCTGGCTGGCGGATGGTGGCTCCTGCCCCCTCTTCCCCCGCCGCTGGCTGCCTTTTCTTCCTCTCTGCCAGGGACACGGGCAACGCCGCAGCCCGGGAGGAGCGGGCAGGCGGCAGCACGTGCAAGCAAAACCGGTGCCTGCGCTGGATTTCCCTCCTCTCTTCTCCTGCGTTAACAGGTCAGAGAAAAGGCGCCTTTATTTTCCCAGCGAGGCAAACGCTCAGGTCCCCTTGCCGACTTGAGCAGACAGCTGCAATGGGTTTCAGCAGGGGAAAATCAGCGTTGAGAGAAACTAGATCATTTTGGGGGCAGTCCACGGGTTCAAATCCCACACGAAGCCCACCGCAGGCATGGCTCTGGCTTACTTACGTGACAGCAGGGACGTTTTGGAGAAGAAATACCGACCTAACTTGCAGCAACTACTGACTTCTGAAGAACAAAACCATGAGCTGAAAATTCAGCCCCTCCAGCCAGCAGCCCCCTCCCGGGCTCCCGTGTCCCAAGGAAACGCCAGGGCTGCCGGCAGCAGCAGACAAGAGGCGCTTCTGCAACCTCTGTTACCTCTCAGGCAGATGCCTGCCTTGGAGATCATCAAAAATATACATTATTCCTAGGTTTTCCTCTCTATAAGCCATTGTACCAGCCTTGCCGAGAAACCACCAAGGCACCGCTCCGCCGGGCTGCACTTCCACAGGCACCTCTCTGGTGGCAAAACGCTGTTCCTTCGGTTGCATTTGCAAGGCGGTGTGGTGAGCTAAATTAGGGAACTTAATCAGCATTAAAGATCTCTTTTTCTTCATTTGCCTCTTGCAGGTTTATTTTTAGCCAAGATCCATTGCTTGATCCCATTCGCGGCCAGGCCCACAACCAGCTGTGCTGGCACGAGTCGAAGGTGGGCAGGAGCTGCTTACGCCAGCTTTGCCACCACGGGAAGTATTTGTGGAGCCGTGAATTTAATGGTGCAAGTCCAAACTGAGGGTTTAAGTAGAGACACTGATCCTTTTATGCTAATAGCCACTCTTTTATAACATTTTCCATGGAGCACCTTCTTTCTCCCCCCTCCTAAGGTATCTAGACACACAACACAAGACAAAGTAGAGATTTTGCTTGCAGGAAAAAATCTATTCATCCCACATCTGGAAACTGGGGGATGATTCAGCATCAAAAACAGCTGTAGTCAGCAAGCGCATTTTCCTACAGAAACAGTGTTTATATCACAAAAATAAAGTAAGAGAAAACAGAGAAGAAAATAAACAGAAGGCTTCTCGGCCAGTGGCACTGTCTAGTAGGCCTGGCTATGAAGTCAACTTTCCCAAAAGATGTTTTTCTCTCCAACATCGGCACCCATCCTTGAGGACTTGTCCGAGGGAACAGCTTGCAATGACTCTTCCATTGCCCAGGACCAGGCACTTCCAGAAGGAATGACCTTCCTCAGGATCCCGTTCAACCTCCAAACCCTACGCTCCGGCTCAGCTCACAAGAGCAGAGGCCCAGATAGCTAAGTTACTAACACATACCACAGAAGTGTGACTGGGCTCTTAGAGCTCTGCTCTCTAGTTAAGAGCTCTGGCGCCTGATGCATGTCCCTTATCTGCTGTCCTCCTCCTGCGAGTGTCCTCTGCTGTCCCAGTCCGAAAGGACCCGTCATTCAGCTTCAGGTTTCAGTGCAAGCCAAGCAGCTACGGAGGGAAATCTGTTTGCCTGCATAGCCATTTTCCAACTTGGTTAATTGAAACAATAGAGAGGCTGTTAATCATCAGAGATTGTTCTTTAAAAAAAATAAAGGGAAAAGGACAGACAAGGAAACGCAATAGCTTTATGCCATTAATTGTAAACTATGCACACACAGTAAAAAAGGAAATTTCATGCAGAGGTCAACTATGCAACTATAAAACAAGGAGATACTGTCATCCTAAATCTATCTTACTAAGGACAAACCTTTCATCCTCTGTCAGTGTGTTAATCCATTAACACCACTCTACAACATCAAGGTTTAACCAAGTCCCACTTCTGTAATATCGTTTCATTTTCCAAGAAAAACATTACTTTAAAAACAGGCCCTTTTCTTGTAACGCCTCCAGCTTTCTGAGGAGAGAGATTTTTCAGGATAAGAGAAAGCCTCCAAGTCTGAAGAAAGGGCTGTACATGGGCTGTGTGTGTAAGAGGTCCAAGCGCAAAGCTCTTCCAAGGCCCTAAGGGCTGTCATCTGCCCCACTGTCAAAAATGTGCCCTCAGTGCAGCCAAATTGTGCCTGGCAGCAACCGGCAGAGTTCCCTTTGGGGTCCTGGCATAGCAATCTTCATTCTTGCCCAGTTAGGTTTTTACAGATATTACTATTCCACACGTTCCAGAACAGCCTGGATAGCGTGCAGGGCTTAGGGTCCAACAACGCATTTCAAGATCAAGCCTCATATGCAAGTGCATTTGATGGACCAAACCTCTCCGTGAAGAGGTGCTGAATTTTGAACAGGTGCTTACTACTCATTATACCCCAAGTCTCCGCTGATTACTGAAAAAAAATAACATGACAGACTGCTCCGACAGAGCGCACGCTGCATCTCCGCTGCCCTCTTTGTCACCCTGTCACACTTGTACACAGTCAGTCGTGGGAGACCACAGCCCCCCACCTCTGCCAGGGCAGGAGGCAAAAACCCGGTCCAGCAGCCACGTCCCAGCGGAGACGTCTGCCCGAACGGAGCCTACTTCCGGATAAAAACGTGCGAGAATTTTTCATACAGAGAAATTCAGAAGACCTCCAATAACCCACACAGCTATTGACTTGCTCCATTCACGGACCTGTATTCAGACAAACTTAGCTTTTTCCAAGCAACAACAACAACAAAAAGATAATCTTTGCATAGTCTTGTGACTCTGGAAGTAGTTCTATGAGAAAAATAAATAAGAACATTGAAGAATGCAGTTTGCACAAGGCAGACTACACATTTTAATTAATTAAGCAAAACAACAACCTACGGGTTTTTCTGAACGTGAAAAGATTTGATATTGCTAGCTATATTCTAAATATGCTGATGTCAAAAATTATCTACATTACTTTAATGATTTTTAGGAAGATTTTCAGTTTCACTATCATTTCAAAAAAAAGCTGGAACTGAATGGATCCATATGGTAGCATGACAAAAGAAATGAAGTGTGGTTATTAGATATGTGTGTTTGCATACACATATGCACACAAAACCATTTTTCTGTTGTTAAAACACTCCAGAGGAAATGCATCTAAAGCCAAAACGCTTCTCATAAAATAAAGAGCTTCTTTCACTTTCCAGTATTATTCACTGACAAAGGCTAGGAAATCTGACAGAGACTGCATTTGTGCAGAGGTGAAGGGCCAGTGTATGGGAATAGGCTTAGCTATAAAACTCACAAAACTGGGGCTAGTGACTAACTTGGAGACAAATCCCTACCCTGAAGCACTGCAATCATTTTAACATCATGCTCTCACTAATTATTCCCATTTGATTGTACCTTCAGAGCCAAAGTATCTTTACTAGGAAGTTTCAGAAGTAAAGTTCATAGAAAAAAAA